CCTGCCTCAGCCTCCCCGTATAGCTGTGCGCCCAGCTACCACATGTCAGCTTGATGCCAGAGTACATCTTAAATCATACATAATTTCCAAATAAACACAATGACCACTTTATAATTCTGCCTAATGTGAGACTCCTATCAAGTCTCAACAGCTCTAGCATTTCTAAAAAATTCAAGTGCAGCTTTTCTGAGTCTCAAGGCAAATTGTTAACTGTAAGTCTGTGAAAAAAAAATTTTACTCCCAACACAAAAATGGCAGAGTGAACAGTCCTTTTCCAAAAAGGAGGAATGGGGACTTGAAAAGAATTAGACCAAAGCATGACTGCAACCCAGTTGGATAAGCATGAAGGCTTGTTGCTGGATGTCAAGGAACTGGAAAACACTGGAAGTGTTGCGTTTCCAGGGGTGTAGGCGGTCCTGCCCCAGCGGCCATGCGAGTTGCAGCCCTCACGGACTGCTTGGGCTGGCTCTGGCTGCTGCCTGTGGCTTTCCACAACAGGTGTTCCCTATTCTTGGCATCCCCAACCTGCCGGGGTCTCCACTGCATTTTTGCTTCATTCCTACAGCTGCAGGCATCCACCTCCCAGATCACATTGCCGGTCCTCCAGGCCTTCCCTTGGACTCTGGGTGGAAGCCTCCCTGATACCACAGCTCTTGCATTCTGCACGCCCAGAACGGGCACCATATGGATGGTGCCAAGGTCTGCACTCGCAGGAACAGTAGCCAGGTCCCATTGGTTCATGGATATAGAGGCTTCTGGGTGCCTGAATGACTGAGTATGGTGAAATAAGTCCTGGCAAATCAATTCCTTACAAGGGACCAAGAGATTTTATTCTCAAGTGAAAGTTTTACACTTTTTTCTTTGATCCTGCAGTGCCTGAGATCTTGCTGATTTCTGAAATGCCCTTAAGATACGTGTTTTAGTTCATTGCTGAGACAAAACACCCAACACCCAAAGTTAAAGAGGGAAATGTTTGTTTAACTCACCTGCCTGCTTAGGCAAGCACAGGGAACAAGGTTCAATCTCCAGCACCACATGCCACATTGGCCCAGCCCCAGGGCATGCTGAGTGGGCTACTGAAACTGGGCGTGGTGGTGCACCCCTATAATCCCAGCACTGGGGAGACTGAGACAGGAGGTAGGAGTCCAGGCTGCATAGCGAGTTCCTGTACCAACTAAATAAAAGATAAAAAGTTTTAAAAATCTAGTATATATGCAACTAATGTATTCATTTATCTTTTAATTCATATGTTTTGTACAAGGTCTCATTACACAGCTCGGACTTGTAGGGATCCTCCTGTTTTCAGCCTCCCCAGTGCTGGGATTACAGGCGCAGGCCACCATGCCCAGTCTTGGTGGCCAGCTCAGCGTGCCTGGGGGCCGGGTCAGTGTGGTATGTGGTGCTGGGGATTGAACCCCAGTACCTGTGCTTGCTTAAGCAGGCGCTTAGTCCACTGAGCTATCTCGCTGGCCCTTCCAATGTATTTATTTTATTTTTATTTATATTTTGGCAGAACCAGGGATTGAACTCAGGCTCTTGGGCTTGCCAGGCAAGCGCTTATTCTACTGAGCCATCTCCCCAGCCCCCAAGTGTATTTATTTTAAAACGCAAATGGCATTCTATTATAATACTGTTTGCTTTCTTTTTACTCATGTGATCCTATCTATGTCCACATGTCTTTGACATTGAAATTATTCACATTTTTTCCCTTTTTAAACAATGGTGCAAAACCCATCATTTCTTTCTCTTTTTTTTTTTTTTTTTGAGACAGGGTATCACTTTGTAGTGCAGGTTGGCCTTGAACTTGTGCTGATCCTCCTGTGTCAGCCCCCGAGTGCTGACATTACAGATGTGTGTCACCATGCTGGGTGTGTATCTTGACCTTTTAAAAATGTTAACTCACAATATAACACACTACGGTAAGAAGTACCATCACTACGCTACGGTAAGAAGTACCATCACTGTAGGGGGCGGCGGCACCAAGTAGACGCCTGCTGTGGTGTCTTGTCGTCTTGTCAAGCACAGAGACGTGGAGTAGAGACGGCACCACCCGCTGCCACAGCCGTGTGCTCTGCTGTCCCAGTTGGCACCGAGTGCCAGGGGCTAACCAGCCAAGACTTCTGTGCTGCAGACTCTACGTGTCAAAAGCAGGGCTCACAGTAGTAGCATTTTCTTAGAAGCCTGTACAGATGAGCAAACAAGTAAATGTACAAATCATGTCTGTCACCAGGTTGGTGCAGTACAGCTGTCTGGGAATGTTTTGTCATTTGCTGGTGTTGTCGTGGTCTTTTTCCTGCCAGCCTGACTACCCCAGGGTGGACAGCAGCGATGGGTGGGTCACCTGGGGCGGCGCCCCAAGTGGCCTCAGTCTTCCCCCATCCCTTATTTGGCTTTTCACTATTTTATTTGCCCATGGGCTTAATTAAAATGTTTATGTGCACAGAAGCAAACCTAGGAAGGTGCCTGCTGTTATGGCGCGCTCTGCTTCTGTCTCACAGCCTGAGAGAGCTGAGGAAGTAAACTGACCCTTTCCTTTTGGGGGGCTGAGGGCCAAGGGCAGAGCTGGGTCCTCCCAAGCCTCTGATGTACACCAGTCACTCCTGAGCTCCACATGAGAAACATGTACCTCTCTGCCCTTAGGGGACGCTGCTTGCCAGGGATCTTTATGTCTAGGAAAGGGGGAAGGCAGACAGCTGCAGTGACCTCAGCAGGAAGCTAGGATCAAGTGACCCAGCCCAGAGTTCCAGTTTCCAGTTTTTCACCAGAGTGGCAAGTTGGGAGCTCTCTTCCCGCGCAAATGGGAGTGTCCTGGGATCCTGAGACCAGCAAAGGACTCTGACTTGAAGTTTCTTTTCCTTCAAGAACTTTTCCTGAAAGAAACTACCGCCACTAGGGACCAGTGGCGCCTGAGGGAAGGTACGTGCACAGCCCCCACAGCCCCACCTGTTCTCAGCTGAGGCCAATTACTCCTTCACTGCCTGCCATTGAACCATGCAGAACGCTTCCTGTCAGTCTCGGCAAGGGTTCTGCAGGGTTCTTTTGCGGTGCCAAAGAAAATGAAAGTTAAAAACCAGGAAGGCTCCACACGGCCTTTTACCCCAGTTCACAGCACTTTGAGGGCAAGGTGAGGGGATAGCATGTACTCAGGAATTTGGGAACCATCCCATCTGAAAAATGAGAGAAAGAAAAGCTGCCAGACACCAAGGTTTGGCAGATTTATCCAACTGGAGATCAGAATCTTCTAGAAACCCCAAAGAGAGTGATGTTTAAGATGGAGGGTGTTGACAGAGCCCAAACACTGGACGTGGGGCTGCAGAGCGGATCTTGGGACGGGAGCGCGTCAGTAGGGCAGCTTCGCTTCTGTTTCTGCCTTTCCTTCCCTACCTCCCCTCCCCTCCCCTTCCTGTCTTCTTCCTCTGAGATGGGCTCTCGCTGTCGTCCCTGGGTTGTCTCCTGCACACCTGGGATCCTCTCACCTCTGGTTCCCCGTGCTGGCCGAGCGCCCCTGGGCCTGGCCGCTTCCTCCGTCTAACACCAAGTCCTAGGTCCTTACTGCACAAAACTGAAGACACTCGGAGGGGATCACAGAAGAGGGCTTGTAGTGCCTATCATTGTATCGCTATTATTTAAGCTGCTTTGCTATTATTTAAGCTTTTTTCCTTCCTCAAGAAAATATCTTCTTATTTTTCCAATCAGTCATGGCCTTAAAAAACAATATGGGGGGGCCAGGGAGGTGGCTCCGTGGAATAAGCGCTTCCCTGGCAAGGGCAAGGGCCTGAGTTCAACCCCCGGTTCAAAAAAAAAAAAAGAAAGAAAGAAAAGAAAAGAAAAGAAAAGAAACAACAATATAGACCTAGCTTCTTGAGCAGGCCGCTTCTCTGATTAGGATGGAATCCAGTACAGGGTACCACGGTTTATAAACAGTGGAGACATTAGCTCATGAAATTCGTGACTCTCGAGGCTGACTTGATTCCTCCTTTGGTCTGGAGTCCAGGGTTGTGGCCTCCGTCCCTGTGAGATAAGGCCCAGCCACGGCCTGGAGGTAAAGGGCGCTCACTCATCCACGTTGGTACTGTGCTCAGTAGTTCCTTCTGAAGTCGTTTGCGCAGCTTCACGTGTAGGAGACCACACGTTTTTCTGCCACTGGGTGGAAACGAGTGTGGGGCACCCCAGGGCAGAGAGCTGGCACTATGTCCTCTTCTCCTGCCTTTCCACTGGGAGCGTCAGGGTAAACTGAGTGATTGGCGTTTTCAGGTGCAGGCGCAGCAGAGAAACAGGCGGAAGGAAAAGGGGAAAGGGGCTTTATTTTCTTTGAGGGCACGGGAGAGAACATGGGGAAGGAGACGAGGAATTCTCTGGATTGGAACAAAGGGGGGCTGAGGCTTTTATGGCCTTTTTCCAGGGGTGGAGTTTGGAGGGGTGTTTAGTTATATCTGAGGGAGCTGACTGGGGGATTCCCTGAGGCAGTGGGAAGGATGAATGAAAACTGTACCTTGGGGTGAGCTGGAAAAGAAGGGGGAGGTGGTCTAGGCAAGATGGGCCTTTGTTTGAAGGGCTTCAGCCACATTGGATGACCATCAAGATGATTTCAGCAGTTCACACTGGGGCCAAAATGTCACTGAGCCCCAGCAAAAACTCCTGCAATCTCCAAGGTGACTTGCAAAGGTTGGGCTGCAACTTTCTGGGCCACTGGATTTTTCTTTTTGGTGGAATCAGGGATTGAACTCAGGCCCTTGTGCTGGGCCATTGGATTTTGCAATGGGGTTACAGTGACTGTTACTCATTTCTAGGAAACCATGAAGCTCAGAGCCGTGCTGAGGGAGGGCTTGGGAACTCTAGAGCTGTGAGTCACTGCTCCGAGCACCGGCCCCACCTCTGTCTCCTGCTCTCAGGCTGGCCATGGCCTCAAGTGGAGGAAGTCGGGGCTCCAGCTCCGATGAAGACAGTAGTATGAATTTCCGGGAGACGCTTCTGCGCATAGACGCAAGCCTGGGGGCCCAGGACGTGGAGGGCCTGAAATTCCTCTGCATGGACAAGGTCTTCGAGAAGAGGCTGGAGCGCTGCAGCTCGGCCTCAGATCTGTTTCACCTTCTCCTGAGGGAGGCGCTGCTCAGTGAGAAAGACCCCTTCTTCCTGGCCGAGCTCCTGTACAGCATCAAGCAGCACTCGCTTCTGCGGCACCTTGGGTACACGCGCGAGAGGGTGGAGCAGTGCCTGCCCGCGCGCCGGAGGCTGTCGCTGTTCAGGTGTGGAGCGGTCTTTTTGATCTATGGTGCATTCTGGCCTTTTGCTTTGAAAGGAAGCTAGAACTAAGCCCCTTTTCTTCCCTGCCTCTTTGGAGGAACAGCCCGGAGACTCTTGGTCAGGAGGCCCCTCAGTGGCGCCTGCTGGAGGGCTGAGCGGTCGGGTGTCAGCAGCAGAGCCCAGACCCAGGCATGGTGGCTGCAGCCCCTGTGTTCCGCTTCGCGTTCCTGAATGCTCTCCCTGTCTCCGTGTTGGACTGCCCTTCCTCCGGGAAGACAGCCTCTTCCCTCTCCAGGGCCTGTAGAAGGGCTAGTGAATACTTGGAGTCCCATACGCAAAGAGAAAGAGGCTGTTTCTGGGGACGGGCGCAGCGTTGTTCGCCACTGCCCAGCCACTGTTCTGATACAGCTTTGGGTGGCAATGCAGAGAAGTAAAATGTAACAGGAATTCTGCCCAAGCAGCTACACTGTGGGTAGCAGGTTCTGGTGGGCCACACTCAGCCACAGTATTTGGTGGTCCCCGATCTGTGTCCTCAGCAGAGAACCATGTTAAGAGGTATTTTGTGGTCTTGGCATTCAATTTGGCACCAGGGTGAATTCCAGGAGTCCTCAGGTCTGGCCCTGGATGGATGAGGGATGCCTGGCACTCGAGGTGCTGGTGCGGGGGGGGGGGTGAGGGACAGGACGCTTTCCCTGGGCATGGACAGGCGTGGCTGGAGAGCTGGCAGTGGGTGCCCTTGCCATGCCCTGTGTGGGAGCCCCAGCTTCTAGACTGGATCAGGAGGGGGCAGCGCACAGGGCTCGCGCTGTAGGCCTTCCTAGCGTAGAACAGGGCTAGAGCAGGGCACGGGGCCGGCTAAGTTAGCTGCAACAGGCCACTGGCCGAGGAGCTCGGTATTCATTTTGAATCTGTAAGGTGAGGTTCGTGATTATCCACTTGTAGTGGAGCCTCTGGATGTCAGCAATAGTTGTGGAAGCCCCGATTGGCTGCATGGAGAGTTCATTGTCGTTTTGGGTGTGTGTCTTAGGAGCCTGCTCTACGAACTGTCAGAAGCCATTGATGCAGAGGCGCTAAAGGGCATGACCTTTCTTCTGTACGACCACATTCCCAAAACCCAGATGGTGAGTGGGCAGAAGAGGGCTCCGCAGGGCGGCCTCTCTGTGATGGTTGGAGCGACTGGGGTCATGTTTGTGGGGTGTGGGGGCACGCAGACTCTGGCCTTGGTTCTGCTACCGACCTTGTAGTGTGGGCAGGTGATCAAATATTTCTGAGTCTGTTTTCTCCTGTGCCTGCTTGTGGACAAGAGCCGCTTCCTCCTTTCACCACTGCAGGAGGGAAGTGCCTCAGAAGGTGCTGGCAGGGCTGTGTCCGCACTGCCACTCGGGAGGAAACACTCATGGCGAGGCTGTGAGTACAGCGGGTTGTGTGTTCAACACCAGCTTCTCTGAATCTGTACAGGGGTCTAGGTGCCTATGTCAGGTGTACAGGGGTCTAGGTGCATATGTCAGGTGACAGCAGTGTCTCCACTGAGGGTTTCTGTGAGGATCTAGACACAGTTTATATATAAATCTTTAATTTTTTTCCTTACCCAGTTTTCAAGATAATTAACAGGTTTCTTGTCATTCTCTCAATATGACTGATTATGAATGTATGTATAAAGTTGAATTTGTGAAGGCAAATACACCTGAGGGGTTTTAGTCATTATAGCTATTGTCTTATTGCACTTTAACCACCCCCCAGGTTTGAGCCCAAGGCGTTTGCTCTGAGCCACATCCCTAGCCCTTTTTATTTTGGGGGACAGTGTTTCTCTAAGTTGCTGAATTGCTTGAACTTGTAGCCCTCCTGCCTCAGCCTCCCAGAGTGCTGGGCTTATTAGCACACTCCACAAACTACACTTTTTGGAACTGGTGGGGGCCTCTTAGGTTGGTAACTGTCATTTTGATGTGACACTGGCAGTTTTTGAAAACTTTTTTGCTGTCTGGCAAAGCTGTTTCAGTTTCATTTTGTAAGCTTTTTGTTCAGCCCTAGATTCCATCCCTTCTTGAAAAAGCCCTGGTTTTGTTTAATGAAAAATGTTATTCTGGGGATCACAAACGAGGTGCTGGAGATGTGCTGGCCTCTGGTCTGATCACAGCATCGATCCTAGATCTGACGGAGGTAGGAAGTGTGTTTTAATATATGTGTTTGTTTTCATGTCACCCCTTGAGTTAATACTTTTATCTTCAGTTTCAACTCAAGTGTGCTAGGCTTTCATTTCATCTCTGCTGTATTATACTTGCATCCCCTTTTCTCCACACGAAGAGTCCTGGTGCTCGTCACAGGGAGTGACAGAAACAGAATGTCGTGTAGCCTTGCTTTCTCTCACATTCCACCTACCACAGCCTCACAATGTTGATACTGAGTCCCCCGGAATGATTATTCGTCACAGCTGGGAAGCTAGTTTGCATATCATACCCGTTCTCTCCATATGTGTTCAGGATTGAAGTGTACATTTGCAGAGAACACAGCCATGACATGCTGAGGAGTGATCAAAAAATATGCTGAATGCTTAAATGTTTTTAAAAATGCAGTAAGAGTCACGTTACCAAAAGCCCCTCCTAAAATCCTTCCCCTCACTTCAAACACACTTGTCCCTTTACTTTGTTTCTGTCACTTTCTGAAGCAGCTCTGGAGTCCTCTCTCCTGAGTTCTTTAGTTGTGCTGCTGAGCATGTCCTGCATCGACTCACAGCGCTTCCCTTTCACGGTCGTTTTGACCTTGGGGAGAACCAGAAGTTGCACCGTGTCAGATCCAGCGAATCTGGATGAGGTGGGTGAGGACACACTGTAAGATTATTTAGTTTTTATTTTCATTACTTCATGATAGGTAGTATTCAGAACCCTCAGGAAACGACTACTTCTCAGAGATGTTTTCCAGGTGTAGCTGGCTTTTGGGATTTGAATCTGGTGTAAGATCCTACCTCTTCAGTTTATTGGGGATGAGAAGTTGCTGCCTAGTTGGCCCCTGGCTCTTTGTTTGTTTGCTTTTCGCCCTGGCAGTGGCCTATAGTATTGTTTATGATCCTCAAGCTCAGCCTTGAATACCAGAGGAACAACTGACTGGAGCAATTATGTCATCTTGGCTAAAGTAGTGCAATCAGCAATGTACTACAGTCAGCATCGAACAGCTTAGAAGATGACCAACTGTGGTGCTATTAATTTTCTACCATGAACTATATTTGTAGTTATCTAACAAAAATTAAAACCCAGGATTTTGCATAGTAATTGCACCCACAATATGGTGATCTTACCCTCAGAGTAGAAAGTTTAAAAGGGATTAGGAGGGCTGGGGAGATAGCTCAGTAGAATAAGTGCTTGCCTGGCAAGTGCAAGGGCCTGAGTTCAATCCCTGGTTCTGCCAATAAAAGAAAGAAAAAGAAAAAGAAACACAAAAAGACAATCAATCAATCAATCAACTTTCAATCAATAAAAAAGCAAGTAACAGCATGGGCCCCTGCATAGTTCCTAAGGGGAGATCATTAAAAAAAAATTAAAGGGGTTAGGGAGAAAACAAATAGAGAAAAAGAAGAAGAGAAGAGATTAGAAGGATGGAGGAAAACAAAGGATTACAAGAACTCTGGGAAACTGGTGAAGAAGATAAGAGAGAAAGAATAAAGAAATAAAAGCAATAACAATAGAACAACAACAACCAAACTAGAAAGTATTCACACTAATATAAAAAGAATAAACAGTCAAGAAAAAAGTTCATGTGAGAGCACGCCTCTGCTTTCACTGGCAGAGCTGGCGGACAGAGCCCAAGTCCAAGTTGACTGATCACAGCAAGCCAGCCATAGCTTTCTTGCAGTGGAAAAATAAGTAAAATTTGAAAAAGAAAGAAAAAGAAGATGAGAGACAAGTAGTTAATCCAATTAAAGAAATAAAGTTAAGGGGGCTGGCGAGATAGCTCAGCAGAACAAAGCTTCTGCTCAGGCAAGTGCAAGGACCATGGTGATCCTGGCGCAACATGCTGCACCAGCCCCACCCCAGGGCGGGCTGAGCCGGCCAGAGTCTGGGCATGGTGGCGCCCGCCTGTAATCCCAGTGCTGGGGAGGCTGAAAGCAGGAGGATCACCATGAGTCCGAGCTGCGTAGTGAGACCCTGCAACAACCAAATACATTAAAAGGAAGAAAGAAAATTAATAAAATCAGGTAAAAACAACAACAGCAACAACAAAAAGTTCTAAGAAAAATCAGAAAAAACAAAGAACAAAGATCTAGAGCGCCCTTCTCCCAACAGAGAAAGGAGTTCTGAATATTTCTCTGTGCTTTTAATAAGTGACTTCTTTTCAAGACCTCAGTATTGGAATCCACCAGATGTGAGGGAGACATAAGGGGTCACAAGTAGGATCTATTTTGTTTCTACACACTGTGTGTGTGTGTGTGTGTGTGTGTGAGAGAGAGAGAGAGAGAGAGAGAGAGAGAGAGAGAGAGAGAGAATGCTGAGAACTGCCTGCTTACCTGCTGGATACACTCGAGCAATGGCGTGGTGTCTGCCGCAGGGCTCTATTCATCTCAGCAGCTGCTAGTGTTTGTGCTCCTCGCTGTGCCCCCAGCCACTGCTTTCTCTGTCTAGTCTTACAGCCTATGAAATTGCTCCCCCTACCCTAGCTCCAGAAAGCCCCTCTGTCCACACACCCAAGGATGTGGCAACCGTCCAAGCTGAGCTGTTCCCCTGTTCGTGTGGCAGATAGAGAAAGCAGACAGAGCGCTGAGGTCTGCGCTGGAAGTGGGAGTGAGGAGGGGGAGCAGCCTTCTGGGCTCGGTGCCAGCACTTTCAGACTCAGCCCCTCAGAGAACTACAGCGACCAGCTTAGCTTCTCAACACAGAGACCTGGACACCTGTGTCCTCGCCCGAGCTCACCACTGGTGAGCCTTCTCCTGGGTCTTTCACTGGCCTCAGTCCTCTCCGTGGCTGTCTCTTGTGACCATCTCCCCCTAGTCATTGCAGGAGGGTGATATCAGAGACATTAAAGTGTAGTTGTTCTGCGAATTCTGATTCCTGAAACAGCTTAGTCTTAACCAATAAGACCCCTTTCCAGGTGGCTCCTAGTTATATCATTACTTAGAACCGCTACTCACTGAAAAGATTATGCCCCCTTCTACCTCCATATGTAAGTCAGTCTTAAAATAAAATAGTCTAGGGCTGGAGAGATGGCTCAGTGGTCTAAAGCACATACTTGGAACAAGCTTGGCAAAGCACAGGGACTGCAGTTCGATCCCCCAGCACCACATGCCAGCCAGCCCCGCCCCCTGGTGGGCTGAGCTGGACACACATACACACACACACACACACAATAAATGTAAAAATAAATTAAATAAACAAAATCTTAAAAAAAAATAAAAAAATAAAATAGTCTAAAAATAGGTGATGTGTGATACCCCCTGGAAATGTCATACGCTTTTAACAAAAATTACCAAAATGTAAACTTATTTTAAAACATTTTCCCCTCATTTCTTTGAGTTTTGCCAGTTCCTTAATCAGTTATGTCACATAAAGGAATCAGTTAGGAGCAGGGACACTCAGTATTTAACAAGACAGACTTCGACACGGGAGCCAGCTCTGCACTGAACAGCTTCGTGATGGTGGGTAAATTAATGAACCTCTCTATGTGTCAGTTGTTGTTGTTAGTATTAGTATTGTCTTATCGAGTCAGGGTTTCACTGTGCAGCTCAGGCTGGCCTTCAACTCATTTTGTAGCCCAGGCTGGCCTCAAACTTGCATCCATCCTCCTGTCTTAGCCTTCCAAGTGCTGGGATTACAGGTGTGTGCCACCATTGTCAACCCAGTTATTTATTAAAAATGAGGATTACAACATTTCTTTTTCCCTCCTCCTCTTCCTTTTCTTTGGAGTTTACTGAGGATTGAACTCAGGCCTTTCACACTAGCTACACTCAGCCTTTTTTATTCTTACATGTTTTACTTTGAGACAGGCTCTCACTGTGTTTTTTTTTTTTTTCCTGTGGTACCGGGGATTGAACTCAGGATCCTGTGCTTGCCAGGCAGGCGCTTATTCTACTGAGCCATCTCCCTGGCTCCACTTGCTGAGCTTTCAAGTTCCCAGGATGAGTTTGCACATGTGGTCCTCCTCCCTGAGCCTCCTCGTGCACAGGAATTACAGGCACACGCTTCTGTGCCTGGCTCGTTGGCTTGTTTTGAGGTTACTGCGCAGTGAGCGCTGCGCCTGGAGTGAGAGCTGCGCGGGGCAGGCTCTGTTGTCAGTTCCCAACCTTCCCCAGCACGGTTGAGCCCTGGAGGGCACACACTGTGTGTATCACTGCAGAGCCTGGTGCTTGAGGCCAGCTGCAGGCTTAGCACACAGCAGCTACTCAGGAGGCAAGTGGCTGTGACTGTGCTAATTCTCTTGCAGACTTCTCTAAGTCTACTGGTGTGTCTAGAGAAGCAGACTCTAATAGCCGAAGACGATCTGACGTTACTGGAGCAGGTCTTTAAAGAGGTTACACCCCACCTTGTGAAAAGGATAGAGAACTACAGAAGAGAGAAGGGTAAGTCGCCTGTGCATGCGCCAGACCACAGGAACTCTGAGAGCAGGTGCTCAGTGTGATGTTTGATGCCATTCTCTTAGGAAAGCCAGGAGTACCCCTGTTTCCCCTTCAGGGTGTTGTGCTGGCTGCACACTGGCCAGGCAGGCTTTGCCAGTTGCAGGTGGGGCAGGTAGAGAGCCACTGTCCCTCTGGAGAGGCTGTTCTAGTGGGACAAGGTTAGTTCCAGATGAATGTGTTTTTCTGATTTTTGTTATCTTTTTCAAGACAGGGTCTCACTATATACTTCAGGCTGGCCTTGAACTCTCAGCTATCCTGTCTCAGCCTCCCAAGTATTGGGATTATAGGGGTGAATCACCACACATGATGCTTCTGTTCTTTATATGGAAAATTGTTTTGAATGAAATAAACTTAAGGAGCAATGGAATGAAGAGTGGGCTCTGTAGAACTAGGAGGGCAGTACTCTACTAATGAGTGGTACAGTGCCCTTTGCTTAGCCTGTTTGTGCCTCACTTTTTCCATCTGTGAAATGGGCATAATGATATGTCTACCTCAGAGGTTTTGGAGGCAATTGAAGGAGATAATCCCTATAAAATGCATATTTGGTATGAAGGGAACACTTGACCCATGCTGCCATCAGGACTGTGCTGGCCAGAGAAGGAAGTCACAAAGGTTTTCCTTTTCTGGAAATCACCATGAGAGCATTCTTCTTTTGTGTGTGTTATAAAAGAGTTTCTGGGATGCTGCACAGAGACAGAGGCACAGAGAAGCCACTCGACGGCCTCCCTCATGTCAAGAAGCTAGATATTTGTGTGTTTCTGAATCCATTTCTTTGTTGTTAAATAAATAAGCACTATTGTAAAACCTCATGAGTATGTTCCAGAAGCTTTGTTGCCACCCGTAATTTGGTTGGTGAGTCAGGTTAGAGCGCAAAACTCCTTGGTTAGACGCAAACCTAAGAGGAAGCCCGAGAACTCAGAGAGGGCGAAGTGAGTTGAGGAGCAGAGTGTGCTGCTGTTAAATTGGTCAATCTCAAACAGTAGCTTAAATAATGAATGAGTGGATAACTTGTGAAAGTTATGCCACAGGAGAAGTTCTTACCACCCCACTGTCAAGTGGAAATAAAAGCAGGAAACTGAATCTAAAGGCCGTGTGGCTCTGCACAGGACCTCACAGGGTGAGCTTTTCTCCGGGCCAGTCTTTTTGCTGCTCAGCAGTGGCCGCAGAGCCGGGCTTGCCGGCTCCTGTGGGCTTCGCCTGGGTGAGTCGTGGCCTGAGGAGCTCTTGCTGGCGCCGAGCCTCCTCTGTGTGAGCTCCCGGTGTCAGCCTGGCTGCACTTTGCCCTCCAGGCCCAAGTGTGTGGGCCTAATCCTGCCTCTAGGCTGAAGGCTGTCGAGGCCTGGCAGGAAAGAAGCTGTGCTGAGTCCTAGCTTTTCTGTACCTGTCGTCCAAAGTCCACGTCCACTGGCTGGGACATGAGCTTTGTTAGGGTCCCCGCCCAGCTTGTGTTTTACAGTCCTTTCTTATTTTGTTGTGGCTCTGGAGAGCAGCACACTGTGCAAGTGCTCTGCCCCTGAGCTGCATCCCGGCCGGCTTAGTTTTCTTGAGCCTTGTGGCTTGCTTTAGTGTTTTTAGTGTATTATTCAGGCAGTCTACCTAATTACAACAAAATCAAATGGAAACTCAAGTAACAAGAACCACAGAGTGTGTAGAAGGTGGCAGCCTAGGGGCCAGGGAGATGGCTCAGTAGAATAAGTGCTTCCCTGGCAAGCGCAAGGGCCTGAGTTCAATCCCTGGTTCTGCCAAAAAAAAAAAAAAAAAAAAGCAGGAGGCAGCCTTTCTCTTCCTCCACTACCAACCCATCTTCCAGATGTGACCATCAGCACAGGTTGGCCTCCAACTGGGGTGATCCTCCTTCCTCAGCCCTCAGTCTCCCAACTGCTGGGCCTACAGGCATGCTCCACCGTGCCTGGCTATAATGTATATTTAAACCCTGCTAATCATATTTTATAACTTTCTCTTTTCTCCATCTACTACAGTTGATGTTCTTCCTGAATATGGTTCACCTACAGTCAGCTCATCCTTATTAGTGGTTTAAAGACATGTACTTTATGATGTGACATTCAGTTACCACTTTTTTTTTTTTTTTAGTTACCACTTTTGAAGAGGCTTTTTTCTTTCTCTCTCTCTCTCTCTCTCTCTCTCTCTCTCTCTCTCTCTCTTTTTTTTTTTTGTACATGTTGCTATTGTAGTTTGGGTCCTGATGATAATTTTCTGGCTTTATTTTATTTATTTATTTTCATTTTATGTATTTGGTACAGGGTCTCACTACGCAGCTCGTACTCGTAGTGATCCTCCTGCTTTCAGCCTCCCTAGCACTAGGATTATAGGCTTGGACTTGGCCGCCGGCTCTGTGCACCCCGAGGGTGGGGCAGGCACGGCATGTAGGACCAGGGATTGAACCCTGGTGTTCAGTCTGCTGAGCTATCTCCCTGGTCCCTGATAATAATTTTCAAAGTAATGTTTTGGGGACTTTTATTTGGTTATTATCTGGTATACTAACTAAGCACCGTAATCCTGAAACAGTAGTTGGTAAGGTGTATTGTGATTTTAAGGGATGCATAGAATTGTAAGCACAATGAGAATACAGAACAGCATGTAACAATAGCAGAGCATTTATACCTTTGCCTTCTCTGGAGTGTGTGTGCAGGCATTCCTGAGCGAAACTGTGGGCATGTACACGCCTCTGGTTACTTCTGCGCAGCTTTAGAACATTGCTGTAAGCCAGAGTGATCTTGTTTTCCTGTCTGTGACTTTGTTTTCAGCTGCCCAGGAAGCGACACCTCCTACAGACAGGGAAGTGAAGTCCTTGAATCAAGGAGAGGAAGAAGTGTTTTCCCAGTCAGAGATTAAGCAGTTCATTCAGGCTTTACCGGTAGGTCCAGTAGTACCCTGGTCAACGCCCGTTGCTGGCTGTACCTTCCACCCGCAGTCTCCAAAAGAGAAAGCTGAGGGAGGGGCGGGGGAGGGAAGGACAGAGACAGAGGTTGCCCTGGGCCACCTCAGATGTGCGCTGAGATAAGCTGGGCTTGGTGAGCAAGTGAGCTACAGGGCTGCCAGCGCTCTGCTGTCCGGGCAAGGGCAAGGGCGCAGAGCACGCAGCTGGTCCACCTGGAAGGTGGGGACAGGCTCCTGGCCTCGGGGATGCCCATGGCCTCGGGGAGCCTGGCGGGGACTTGCTGCCCCGGCCACTGCTGGGAGCTGGGCCGGGGTCCTTCCCTTGCACCTGCCCCTCTCCCGTGTACTTAGGCAGCTCTGGTTTGCCAAAATCTGAATGAAGTGGTTTTGGTTTTATAAATTTTTTAAATTTTAATTTTGTTTAAATTGTGATAAAATACGTATAACAAAATTTATCATTTTAACCTTTTTTTGTGGCAAAATGCACCCAACACACAAAGTTTACCATCTTAACCATTTAAAACATTTAATTATGATAAAACACACTTTACACAAAGTTTACCAACATCTCCAGAGCTTTTTCATCTTCCTACCGGAAACTTTGTACTCATTAAAAACTGCTACCCTTCCGCCTTCCCTGTAGCCACTGCTCTGGGTTCTGCTCGGAGCTCTGACTTCCAGAGCCCAGGACCATGGAGCGTGACATCCCCCAGGGCATACGTGGCCATGGTCCACCGCCGGGTCGCACCCAGCCCAGAGTTGGTGTCTTGTACCTGGCTTGCTTCGCTTGGCCTGAAATCTCCCAGGCTTGTACGTTTTGTAGCGCGCTCCAGAACTTCGTTCTCCTTTAGGCTGAATGATGTTCTATGCTGTCGTGAAGAATTCTGCGAGGGACACGGGCATAAGGTGTCTCTGTGAGACTGCTTTCATCCTCCTGGGTCAGCAGAAGGCAGATGCTGGATTTTCGTGTGCCAAGGCACAGAGCTCTGCAGCAGCAGCTCCGTCTTCCATTTCTGCCGCCGTGCGTGGGGTCAGAGCACGCCTCACCGGCCGTGGTTGTTCTCGGGTGTGGGTTGTGCCCGTCCTCGTGGGTGCGAGGCAGAGTCCCGCTGCAGCCTTGGTCTACCTCGCCGTGTGACCGCGGTTTGCGTGTCTGCATGTGTGTCTGGCCATGTGTGAATCTGCTCTGGAGACATGTTCCCTGAGGCCTTCTCACTGGGTTATTGGTAGCAGTTTTATTTTTTATTCCTAAAAAATTCTGTTCTACTTTCTTTATTATTTTCATATTTTTATAGTTAGAATACTAAAACTTGGAAATAATTTCAATCTTCTAGAAAATTTGAGAGAAAGTGAATAATTCAAGGAATGCTAAAAGCTGCTTGCACCACTCGGTGCCTACTGGTGCTCACGCGTGTTTTGTGATCTCTGACCCTGACCCTGTCTCTCTCCACACACATGCACTTACTTCTGAACTAAAGCTGGTGCCCTGTGTCAGTCCTTTTACCCCGCACACGCCACTGTGTATTTCTTAGGAACACAGACCTCGTTTTGCTGACTGGTGCAGTCATCAATGCCGAAAAGTTAATTAATGTAATGCTTTTTATCAAGTTGGTGGGCCAGATTCCAGGGCTGCCTGTTGGCACAATAACGTCCTTGGCAGTGTTTTAGCTTTCGTACACAGCTCAATCCAGGGCCTCAGTAAGACGACACAGTGCTGAGGTCCGTCACTGTTTCCCTTTAGTCTCCTTTCATTGTTTTGGGCTTTTCTTTTCATTGCTTTTCAGACTTGCTTAAATCTTGAATAATCCACAACTTTTCCTTCCCCCTGTCTCTTCTTTAGGGGTAAAGATGAAGTAGGATTATTCAAAGCTGGCTTTGAGGAGGTGGAGAGGTCCACTGGCCTTAGGTCGCCATCATCTTCTTATGACGTGGAGCTCTGGAAGAATGCAGTTGTTCTTTCCACCTTTCATTTAAAAACACAGTTTTCCTTATTTCTGCTGTCTGTTTGCCCTTGATTAGATCCAGTGTACACATTCGGTCCCAGGAGCGACGTGGAGCCTTTTTCTGGGGCTCACATTTAGAGGAACGTGAAGGCCTTGGCCCTCTGCAGGTGTTGGTGTTGGTCATTTAGCCGAGATGCCTGACTTCTGCGCAGTGAGGTTCATTTCTCCACAGTCGCCCATGAATCATTTGTTCCAGGACCCCCCAAGCTTACTCCAGTGTGTGTGTGCTGACATCCCCTGTGCAGAGGGGGGTCAGCCCTCAGACGATGCAAGTTGCACTTGCATCGCCCACGCAGTTCAAATCACCTCTGGATTACTTACCATGCCTGAGTGTAAATTCTACGTAAATGTTACGTTGTATTGCGAAAATAATGACTGAGAAGTGTCCACATTCAGTACGGATGCAGTTTCTTTTTGAATATTTTTCCATCTTAGTTGGTTGAACCTGCAGAGGTGGAGTGACCTTTTTTCCATACAGTTAATGGGCAGGTGCTCGGGAACATTTTCAAACGTTGTAAATATGCTCTACGTGAAGACCCCCTAGGGTGAGCACCCTCTGGTGATTTATGGACCTGCAGTCTAGGGTTTAGTATGTTGGCTGCAAAGCCCTGCAGTCCTGATGCTGATGTTCTGTCCACACGCACAGTTTTACATTCTATAGACGTTCTTCATTCAATGACCTACCTGTTAATGACCAAGTTTGGACTTTGACCCAGGTGCACTATTTGGACTTATGCCCACCTTTCTTTGCTACAGTTCTGTAGATGGGAATGTACAGGTGTCCAGAAGGCTGCAGCTCAGGCCCTGGAGACCTGGACAGGACACCCTGTGCTGAGCCCCCTGGACTGAGTCCCCTGGACTGACCTTAGTCACAGTTACGACCTGTGCCCCAGGAACAAGGGAAGGGCTTGCTGGGTTCTCTACAAATTGACTGGGAGGAAGAGAAGAGAAGTTTCATGCTGTGTTTTCCTGTTGCTATCATGTCATCATCGCAGATAGCCTCTTGAGGGTTCCCTGTCTCTCTAGTGATTCTGCTACACAGGACGTGAGGCATTTAGAGGCACCCTGGCACGCTGTGAGATGCTCCTCTGGCCCCACAGGCTCAGCCAAGCCCGTCCCTGGGCTATGGGTGGATTTCTGCCCTGTTCAAGCTAGGTCTCTGGATCTTTCCTCCTCCCCCTCTCCTTTTCTTCTTGCTGTCTCCCCAGCTTCTCTAGATCCTGTGGTGGGTCAGTGCTGATGTAACCTAGCCAGTCTTCTACCAGGAATTCTTTTTTTTTTTCAGTTAATTCATGTGACCTAAACTCCTCAGCCCTTCCTTCCCCAGCAGCACAATCCCCAACTCAGACAAAGGAAAGAATGACATTTAGACGGCAGCATCTCCTATCCCAGGTAGTGCTTCAGTGCATGCCTTGGGAGCACGTCCGGAGAAACCAATGCTCCAGAGTAAGATTAAACATAAAATCCTTAGCGAGGCATCTGAGTGCCTGGAGGAAGGCACTCGAGGCTCTGAGCGCCTCTCTCCCGAGGTTGCACAGCCACAGAGGGTGCACCAACCGCAGTGCCACAGCGATGCCGAGAGCGCTTGCTTGACACGTAAGGCCAGGCCCTCGTGACTTGGGGGCCCAAGTGTCTGCATGGGCCCGGCTCTTCTTCTCTGGGGCTCTCTCTGCTCTTCCCACCTCATTCCATGGCAGTCAAGCGTGTGCCCTCTGGCTAGGGAGGTGATGCTGCTGCTGTTACTTTCAAGCTTGCGTGTTCTTTAGGCTATTTCTGGGAAAGGAAAGTTTCTTTCTCTTTTTTTTTTTTTTTTTTTTTTTCAATCGACAGAACTACTTTGTTTGCTGGCATGAGGGTGCATCTGTAATCCCAGCACTCAGGAGGCAGAGCAGGAGGATTGTTGTGAGCTGGAGACCAGCCTGGGTTACCAAGTCAGCTCAAGGTCAGGCTGAACTGTATAGTGAGACCCTGTCTCAGAAGACAAAAAACAAAACAGTACAAACCAAGACCACTTTGTTTCCGCTCGGATCGAGGATGTACATGTTTTCAGGTCACTCCAGTTCACAGGCTGGGTGTGGTGACAGACGCCTCTGGAGGCTGAGGCGGGTGGGAGGGCTGCCAGGAGTTTGAGGTCAGCTTGGCCTACATAGTGAGTTCAAGGGCAAGCTTGAACCACACAGTGAATCCTGTTTCAAAAACAAACACAAGGGGGCTGCCCCTTAGCTCAGTTCTTTAAGTGGCTGCTTCAACAAAGCAGTCAGGCTCAGGTTGCTGTGGTTAGATCCGCACAACTTGAGCCAGCCAAACCTGCCCTGAAGGCATTTGGAGAAAAAAAAAATCCTTGTACCATTAGGGGCTGGGGAGTTGGCTCAGTGGAATAAGCCCTTCCCTGGCAAGCGCAAGGGCCTGAGTTCAATCCCCAGTTCTGAAACAAATAAACAAACAAACAAACACAGAAATGAAGTATTTTATTTGCACAGGGGCTCTACTGAAGCCAGCTCAGCCGATTTATAATTGCATGCTATTTACAATTGCCTTAAAATGATTCCACAGTTAAAAATTTCCACTATGATTTATTTTATGCTTCTATTCATATATAAAGTTATAAAAGCAATGTCTCAGTTTCTAGAGGATTGAGATCACTCCAGAATCCTGCCATCTAAATATGTACATTCTTTGATGTCTCAATGTCTCAGTTTCTAGAGGATTGAGATCACTCCAGAGTCCTGCCATCTAAATATGTACATTCTTTGATGTCTCATAGATACATCTTGTAGATATTAGCTAATATTTTTGTTGTCTTGGTAAATCTTTGTTTAACCTTTTTTCTCATTTCTAATCTGAAAGGGAAGATGTTTGTATGTATACTTTGACTTTGCCAATTTTAAACATATATAGTTTGTTTTTTAACTCTGGAAATTGAGATTCTCCAATAAAACCGGGTTTGCTGTCTTTTAATGAGGACCTGGCATCTACTTTGGAATTAATCCATTCATTCCCAACCAGAGCCAGGATATACAGGACTGTCACTGGGAGTGGATCCTACAGGAAAAGCATGGCTGACTTTCATGCAAAAGGTGCTTCTCCTCTGGCCTGGGCTCTACTGCCATGGATCAGCTTAGGGTTCTTTTACTCAGTTCAGATCAAAATCCTCAATTGGCATGGTTCATGTTAGTTTTCTGAAGGTGAATGCCAGTGGCTGCCTTCCTTCCTATCAGAGACTCTTGGCTTTTGGTGCCATAGCCCTGGAGTTATGGCCCTCAGTGTTTTAGCTCTTAGTTTTACAGGCTTCCATAGCTGCCAGTGCCCCCATACCCTATCAGAGGCTCAGGCTCAGAGTCCTTCCAGCCTCCTTGGGCTCTGGGCCCTGTTCTGGGTCTTGGCCATGGCCCCCACCAAAGTACAGCTCCACTTCTGCTGGCCTCCGCCACCATGGCCAAGCACCTCTGCACAGCCCTTGGTGTCTCTGCCTGCAGAACTGTTCCTCACCGGGATGTTGTAGGCTCCTTTAGCGCAGCCTACTCAGCCCTCTCCACCTGAGTGAGGTAAGGGGCATGAGTACGTGCCAGGATTTTTTCAGTGAGGCTTCCTGGACATGTGTTGCAGCTCAGCTGGTGGTCTGACCTTGATAGGGTGACACAGTGGGATGGTCAGCAGGTGAACTCGTTTGGAGACTTTAGGGGTTGGGCCAGTGCTAGGGCTGCCTGAGGCATGCAGAGTGGAGTGGTCACTCTGGGATAAACCCATGTTCAAGCCTGCTGTGGTCCAGGCCAGTGTCCCCTCAGACACCTCAGCCATGGCTCTGGTGACAGCTTCTCGAACAGAAGTTGGGGAGATGCTCAGTTTGGTGGGCAGTTCTGCTCCCAGGAACACAACAGGGCTGGAGTCACAGCTTCACCATTTCCAGGAGACCCCGGGGGCTACCCTGCTGCCCCTGACCCCTTGGAGTTTTGGGACTTGGGGGCATCAGCAGGGGCCTGTGTGTCTCCCTACAGTCCTCCAGCAGCCAATCAGAAGTGGCAGGGCTTGGCAGCTGGGACGGGAAGGCTTGGTCAGCCTTTGGGACAGGGAAGGGGCGGGCCTCATTTTGGCCTCATAAGGGCTTGAGTCTTGGACACTGAAGTCTGACATAGGTCGGCAGCAATCTGAGTGCAGAGTACTCAGAAGCACTCAGCTTTAGAAACTGCATGGCTTGGTTACTTCTAGTGGCTCATGGTTTGTTTCTTATGTCTGAACCTGGCGCCGAGTCATGCTAAGCATGTGCATTTTCACTGAGCTACACCTCTTGCCCCGAGGAGTGCAGACCACAGTATGATTCCAGCCACTTGAGAGGCTGAAGCTAAAGCACTGCAAGTTGGAGACTAGCCTGGCAGCTTAGTGACCTTGTCTTAGAAAAAAGAAGTCAAAAAGGGCTAGGTGAGCCAGGTGTGGTGGCACATGCCTGTAATCCCAACACTCAGGATGCTGAGGCAGGAGGATCCTTGTGAGTTTGAGAGCAGCCTGGGCTACAAAGTGAGCTCAAGGCCAACCTGAGCTGCATAGTAAGATCCTGCCTCAAAAAGACAAAAAAAAAAAAAAAAAAGGTGTGGTGGGGGCACTGGGCTGTGATTTAGTGGTAGCAGCCTGCATTGGATGTCCTGGGTTCAATCCCCAGTACAGAGGGTTGGGAGTGACTTACTTTAGTGGGCCCACTGGGGTAGTTAGTTAGAAGCAGCTACTGCCCTAAATGAAGAGCCCTACTAAGGGTCTTGTCTGTCCCACGTTGAGGAGGCAGACATGTACAGGATGAACCGGAAGCACAGAGGGCTCTGCGTCATCATCAACAACTACTACTTCAAGGGCCTGTCCGAGCGAATGGGGACGCACACGGATGCCGGTGAGTGGAAGGGAGCGTCGCAGGCGTGTTGGGGGCCGAGAGCCCCTTTCAGTCTCACATATCCTTTCTGTAACTTTATCTCCTAATGTGTGAGGGCCATGTCATGAATGTTTCAGGGCCTTGTGTGTGTCCTTGAGGGGACACCAGTGTGCCTAGTGACCAGAGACCCTGACTGTTCACAACGCTGTGGCTGGGGGCCATGCTGACTGTCCCTGGACAGCAGGGCTTGGGCTCTGGTCCTGCTCTCTGGTTTTGGGGCCCTGGGACGTCAGGGCCTTGGCTCCTTTATCTGTGAAATGGGCTGAAACACAGACACACTGATGACTTCTGGGACTGCTGTGATGCTACTTTGGCTTTACAAGAGGGCAGGTTACTTGTGGGGCTGTATTGTGAAGGTAGAAAGTTCAAAGCTGTAGGCTGCTGGTGGTGCAGTTTTCCTGCCCGTCAGGACCAATCCCAGCCTGCACTGACTGCTTCCCTCTGGGTCCCTGTCCTGCCCCCGCCTCCCCTTAGAGTCCCTGAAGTGTGTGTTCCAGTGGCTCGGCTTCGCCGTGCACATGCACCATGACGTGACTGGAGAAGGCATGCGGAGGATTCTGAGGGAGCAGAAGAGCCACCCGAGCCACGCAGACGCGGACTGCTTTGTGTTCTGCTTGCTGACCCACGGGGGGCCTGGGGGTGTCTACACCACAGACAAAGTCTTCATGCCTCTCCGGGAGATCACGTCTCACTTCACAGCCCAGCAGTGCCAGGGGCTGGCTCACAAGCCGAAGCTCTTTTTCATCCAGGCCTGTCAAGGTGAAGCGGTGCACCCTTCTGTGCTCGTTGAAGCGGATGCTGTGAATCCTGAGTGTGTGCCCCCTTCCCTTCAGGGTAGTATTCCGGATGAGGCAGATTTCCTGCTGGGTCTGGCTACTGTCCCTGGCTATGTGTCCTTTCGGCACAAGGAGGAGGGCAGCTGGTATATTCAGTCTCTGTGCAGTCATCTGAAGAGCCTGGTCCCAAGGTAGGAGGCTTTTTTTTTTTTTTTTTTTTTTTTTTCCCCGAGTAGTAGAAATTGGACTCGGGACCTTGAGCTTGCCAGGCAGGTGCTGCACTACTGCGCCGTATCCCTGGCCCCAAGCTAGGAGTTTCGAGTTGCTCATCCACGTACCTGTTTATCCATCCCCCACCAACCCATCACCCCACTCATCCACTATCCTTCCATCCACCTGACCATCCACCCCTCCACTATCTGTCCACCCACCTACCCACCATCCATCCCCCCACCCATCCCCCTCCCCCACTCATCCACTATCCATCCATCCACCTGACCATCCACCCCTCCACTATCTGTCCACCCACCTACCCACCATCCATCTCCCCACCCATCCCCCCACCCATACATTATCCATCCATTCATACATCTATCCATCCAATCTGTGTTGGGCACCAGCACAGCCCACCATCCATCTCCCTACCCATCCCCCCACCCATACATTATCCATCCATTCATACATCTATCCATCCAATCTGTGTTGGGCACCAGCACAGAC